TTGACGTGACGTGACAATAGTCTGTTTCCAACTTAATATTATTACGATTAGATGATAGCGAACGGTAATCACGGCCGGTTTCAGACGTCCAGAAAGTTTTTGTGGTATACTGTGGAAAAACGAGAATGAGAAAATCCCGACAAATCTCGTTTCACGCTAGACTGGGTCCACGCCGGACATAAAACAAACATTTATATTACTCCCGCGTGTAATAAACGTAATCTCATTTTTCCGTCGAAGAATAAACCGTTCGCGAGCCAGTCGGTTCCAGCGGTAGTCGGTTTTCTAGCAATGGGTACTATGCAAGATTATAGTATCCGGTCGAGGGGAAAATGGGAGACAGCCCACTGATTGCGTTCGGAGGAAAAAATAATTATTACAATATTATACTTTCGCTATTGTCTCCTCTCTCTCTCTCTCTCTCTCTCTCTCTTTCTCGCTTTCTTGCAACTACACCCGAATCCGTCCCTGCACCATGATCAATGACAGATAATAATAATAATAATAATAATAATAGTTTACCCCCACGCCCTGTCTTTGCCACCGATTGACTGCGAATTCTCGTTGCACTCAAAGTCAATAGAGCAGCGGTGAACTACGCGTTTCGTGCTCGTCTTTATAATTACATTCTGAAATGATTTCAAGTGTAAAATGTAATTTCTTTATGACAATAAACGTTCGGGATTTTAATTAATTTTTTCAATCCGACTACGCTCAGTACGTCTTCGCTATCTGTCGTATGTGAACTGGTATATATCCTACGAAATATTTTACTCCCGATGTCTCCGCGATTGAAAATAAAAATATAATATAATCAATACGCGTCAAAAGAGACATGCGGTGTGGAATTGAAATCGTCTCAACGATAATGTAATACAACCAACACGCTTATCCGATTACAAGCGCTAAATATGCATTTGCCGTAGTTCGTTTGCACAATGTTTCTAATACATATATCCGCGGAAAATCATGTTATGCATTTATAGTGTATTCTGATATAACTGCACTCAGCTAATTTTACTCAAAACGATTATACTTTGGTAAGACTAAGTATATAATGATCATAACACACTAATATGCTAAAATATAACAATTTTAAATTCGTATAATACGTTTGTAAATATTTAATGGTTGACAATTCAACATTTGTCACCAATCCTCGAATAAATTTTTGACTGGATTAATGAGTGTCAAATGTTACAATCGATATTTTTACATTCGTTTTTCCGTATATTTCAGGTATCTTCAAGATACGTAATAATTTCAATAAATTCTATACTAAATATAAAATATTCTGAACTGTATACAAATATATTCATAAAGTACTACTATAGACATAATAAATCATACACAATACATTACATTTTTTTCTAATAACATTTTCTCAAAATTTGTACTGTTGAATGGTTAAAAAATATCTTCAATTTATATAGCGTAGTATATTTTCTAACATTTAACAGTACAAATTGTAAAAAGATGTTATTAGAAAAAAATTTAAGAGCCCCAATTATTTCGTTTATTATATTACAGTGAACTTTAATTTAAGTGTATCAAAGAAAATCCTCAAGCAATTCGCAAGTTGTTATTTATCAACCGTTATCAACAAAAACCAGATATATGTAATATCTTTAAATATATATATATATATATATATATATATATATATATATATATATATATAAAATAAATATAATTTATTATTTCTTCAGGATTACGTATCTTCTGTAAAGCTTAACAACGATTTTCTAAGTAACACAAATTATAGAGTTTGCGAAAAATTGATAAAACCCGTAGTTGTCGTTAAATAGAAAATTATTGCTTATTATCACAGAACAATATTTGCATTTTATTTATTTTAGTTTTTGGTTAAGAAAATGTTTGAAAAACCATTTACGATTAATAAAAACCATACATATGTTTATAATCGTACATTTTTAATTTTAATACTTTTAGATTAACTATAACTTTTTATACTTAGATTTCAAAGGCTTCATCCGAATTGGGTCCCAAATTTAAAATTACTACACTAGTTGGTTCCTAAATTATTTTAGGTATAGGCTAGTTTCTGAATATTTTTTAGTAAGTACTACATTATACTAACATTTTCCTTCCTATATTAACAGACTTAGAATTGTCCATGATCTATTTAGATCACAGAACCACATTCTTTTAAAATTCTATAATTTGTATAATATTTTTATATAGTAGTATTGGAAAGTTAGTACAGTGTAATAAAAGTATTATAATAATTAAAAATATTATACAATAATAGTAATATAATTTTAATTATAACATTTTTACCAACACAATTCTAATAATTTATATTTTAATAGAAAAGAAACTATACAAAAAAAACTATAAAAAACATTTTACACCATACCTGTGGTCTAAATAGAACATAGACAGTCTCATGCCTGTTAAAATGGGAAGGAAAATATTAGTATAATATAGTACTTACTAAAAAAATATTCAGGAACTAGTGTAGTGCCTATAAAAATCCGGGACACTACCTGCGATTAGCCCCTAGTACTCGGGACCCAACTCGGATGATTTTAAATCTTAATATTAATAATAAGCCATGATAAAACTAAGTGCATGGTCTAAAACTGAAAAACTAGAAACATACCTGACTTAACAGTCAGCAAATAAGCTTTTCAAGTTTTAACTGACTAAAAATATTTAGGAACTAATAAAAATTATACAAAATACTATGCATAATGAAATAAGACAAAAAGAAATAGCAGCTAATAAAGAATATTTTGCACTAGAAGAATTATTCAAGGCCAAGTACTATGCATAACAACAAAAGCAATCTTGTACTCAAGACAAATTCGACCAGTTCTATCTTACGGATGTAAAATAAGATAGGTATACAAGAGCCATGAAGAAAAATTGATGAAATTTGAAAAAAAAACACATAGAGTGTTGTATCAACAATACTATCTTGGATATAAAAGAATATAAAATAAGAACCAACAGAGATGTTTATTGAATATATCTATAGCCTAATATCAATGGAACAGATATACTTCTTTTACTTCAGCTATCACGAAAATGAAAAAAAGTAATGCAACTAGATTAAACAATTCCAATATTAAATGCGCACAAAGTAAGAAAAAATATTAAATGGTGCTTGTTTATTTTAGAATATTGTGTCGATGTTGGCGTACTTGTTTATTCGCAATGACGGTTGATTGTAGGTCAATCTGAAACATATTTGTATTTATTTTTTTTCTTCAAATCAAACACAATGCATTACAGTAATATTAATTTATTTTTATGTATAAAAAATATCAATTTTCTCTCGCTACGTGTTTAACTCTATTGCGAGATGAATTAATCATAACGACAAACATAACGGTGCTGTTGCAATAATACAGTTGAAATGTCAGTGTTCAACAGACGTTGTTGAAACAATAAAACAATAATACATAATATTTATTACCGGGCGATGAAACAAAACCACACACACTCGAATGCTAATCGAACATGTCACGACATCACGACGAGCGCGCTATACAATTGTACTTATAACGTGCCGTGTACATTTGGACGTGTGAATACGTGCCCACTCGTCGGGCTCGATAAGAAACGGCCGTGTGTCTAATTAACTAATTTCGTCCTCGAACGACGGCAGACGGGGGTGTCGCGACTGCACCCCGTCGGCAAAAACCTACTCATGCCGTTACAGCATTATTGCAATACCTACGCGCGATTACAACAATCACAACAATCGCGTAGACGCACAGTTTTCGGGGCAAAAACAGATCCGCCTTCGGGCTCCCATCGCTGCGACCGTTTTGGCCCGGCCACGTTGTAAATGTTGTGAAGGACAACCGCTTTAAACGGCGATCGCGTTAATTGAACGTCAAAGTTCGAACTTGAACGGCTGCGACGGCCGCAGGACTACCAACGGTCCTTTAATGATTAAAGCTCGGATTTTGAAGCAAATTCTTCTTTTGTTTGGGAGTGCGATAGAAACATAATTCTTACGTAAAAATACGTTTTTGAATCGTTTTGATTTTAACGAAATACACTTTATTTTGATTTTTTTTTCTCCCATTTGGTTTTTATTCTTAATTTTTAAATAATTTTCATGAAAGTTTACATATTTCTATATATATTATACTTTGACTGCTACAGTATTATTTCCATAAACGGTAAAACACGTGATAAATACGAACCTTTGGTAAAAAATACACCTACTGTGTTAAAATCAAAACATAAGTTAGAGGAAGCTAATGGTGAAACAGCGAAATTTATGTTAGAAAAGTGCGATCACGTTTTTTCAAAGAATAATGGATGGATAAAACTTCTTAAGATCAGTAGCGTTCATAATGGCATTGCACTAAACATTAATATGATTTAATCAGTATGATTTAAACGATTTAATTTATATGAAATATGCACCAATTACTTCAAATGATACGGAAAGGTCACTTTCTATGTAAATTAATATATTAGCTACCAATAGGATGAACTTTACTGAACCATATTTAACCAAATACATTGTCGTAAATTCCATTTTTAATATTTAATTTGTGTAGTTTGTGTAAAATGTGTAATTCCAATTTATTATTTTAAATTTAATTTAATAAATGCTTTTTTAGGCCCCTTAAAATGATTTTTAATGATTTATTTTGCTACAAAATCTGAGCCCTATTGATGACGCGGTGCATTACATTATTGTTCACATACAATTATCATCGCAACGTGATAAACAAAATAAAAACCAATCGTTTTCACAAAAGTCGCAAATAAATGTTATAGTTAAGTTCCGTCGAAAAAACGTTTTATTGTTTTTCAAGCAGTGCTCATTGAGTAGTGCTTAAACAAGCGACTAGACGAGCTTTGATTTACTTGTAGTGTTATGCGGATTCGACTGTAAATAATAGGCCACGCGTACCGACCATCACCTAACCCGCACACTAACCCTACCTTCCTCGGTCCGTGAGTCTTAATAAAACCACTAGTATACTTTGTTTGATAAAATAATTAAATCGTATTAAACGTATCATATATTACATCATTAATGTTGTCCATATCCGTGAACATTGAGTTTACAACGAGTAACGCGTATAAAATATGTTCTCACCAAATGTATTACGTTTTTGATAATTAATGTACACGTTGCATTGCTGTACACATATTATATTCGTTGAATACCGTTTACAAAACTTTAAAGTGATAACCTAACCTAAATTAATCGGCAAAAACCAAAACACTTTTTTAATTGCTCTTCCGGATTCACGACACCTTCACGTCCGTGAGGTATTTTTTGTGAAAAATTTGTGTCAACAACATAAATCAACACTAATCACATTAATTATTAAAAATTAATAACTTCAATGGTTATGTGCTTAAATATTAATTAACACGCTTCAATAAAGTGCATGAAAAATAAGCGTTTCGGTTTTACAACTATTAGGTTCGCAAAACCATTGAATTATGTAAAAAAAAAATCATAAAAATGTCTTTCGGATATCTGAGACCCCATAAACCCCGTGAACGTACTCAATATGTAATTTAAATGCAATATTACCGAGTACTTAACAATAACGACAATACACTTAGTGCGTTTTAATAATCACAACATATTTAACCCCGTTTAAATGCAATAATGTCGCATCAGAATTAGTTCTATTGTTTCGACGTAGAAATATGGCGTAGAATTGCATGTCATTGAAATGTGCATCATGTAACAGTCGAAATGCTGCAAGTCAAAAATTTATATCATCAAATTCACGTTTCAGGAATACAGTGACTGTGAGCGTGCTCGAAGACGCATTCCACAAAGCCTTTGACATCTGTTTATGCACGTTATGTGGGAACGGTACGTGCAACCTGTACTTAGGACTGCGGACGTCCACCGCGTCGCCTGTAACGTCCGTACAAATATCCTGTATACTATCACCCGGCATTTTAACATCAATCACCATTGCCTCACAGCTAGAAGTCAATGGAGTCTTCGGTCCCACCTGCGGAATAAATGGTTCACAGCATTATACCACCGAGTGTTAACAATGATATTAGCTAAAGAAAAATTATCACAAAAACGATTTTATAGAATACGTACGGATTTACATGTTGTACGATAACAGTATCAATACAAAGGAAAATTAATGCTTTATAATTGACACCTATTTGATTGGGTTATATAAACTACTAGTAGCGTGCCGAATATAGGTCTAAATGAAGCCCAGGCATCAAGTTTAAAAGGGGTAGGTAATTGTTGGATAATAATATGTAAATCACATTTATATTTGTTCTATATTTATGGCATGTAACTTGATGTTTGTGACTATTATTGGTACTTTTTGGTCTATTAATGAGTGGGTGGGTAGGTGGTAATCTAGACTTTGCAATTGGCATCAAAAAAAATTTTATCTTGGCACACCACTAAAAACTACTATTGCTTATCCGTTATTAAAACAATAAAAATATCATAAAATTTAACTTTATATTACATGATATTAAAATAATAGACATTATTTTTAAATAATTACATTATAAATGTAAAATAATAAATAGAACAAATATTATAATTTAAACGTCATTTGAAAACGAAAAAAAATAAAAATGTGTAGTTATTTATTAAGTTTTTTTAATAAATATTTATATACTCTTTGATCTACCTTATATCCGTTATTTCAATTATAAAAATAGAATAAATTTCTACAGTAATTCGTACAATCAAATAAAAATTCATACCACGTGTCTAGTGAACTGATTGAGAGCACTTATCAATTATATTTAATAATTATATTTTATTATAATTTAATATTACAATAATTTATCATTCATAATTTTTAATAATAATGATAACATTGTGGCATATCTTATAAAAACGTGTTTGAGTTATCTTCTGAATATTAATCTATTTAACTTTACCTGTAGAAACACATCTTCCGTACCAACGTACTGTTGATACTTGACATCGTATTCCGGTCTAATCCTAGTATCTGAAACCACGTCTAATGCTTCCGGAACCACTATCACTTCGTCCACATGCCAAATATCTTTAGCTTTCTCTTCTTCCGACTGCAACACCTCGATTTTCTTGTTATTTTCTTCTTTTTTTATAGACTCATTAGTCACAATCTTTGTATCATTTCCAGTTTTAGATTTACCTATTGTAATTATAACATTTAATTAATATATCATTAGTTTTTACTCTTGAATCTCTCTAACTCTACTCTAATCTCTCGTATTTTATTATCGATGAATTTTTTGGTTAATAAGCAAAATTAAAGGAAGTATTCACATGTCTTTCAACCCTCTCTTGGCTAAGGAAATTACTCATTAATAACTTCTTGTGGATTAAAAGTTCAAAATACAACACACATTACAACAATATGAAATATGTATGGTATAACAAATACATTGATGGTCTAATGATACTAGTGCACAAGTGAAATTTAGGTAATTTTTCAGAACTTTTTGAAAAGGCATTTGAAAGTTTAAGTTCCAATGAATAACAATTGGTACTTATTTCAAACAAAAGCGCCATAAATTTGGTAAAATATCGCATTTCATACTGCAACAATTGTGCATAAAGAAAGCTGTGAAAATCAGTTATTGAGTTAGTATTTATAATTGAAATTCACCATAAATTTCACTTACCGTACTTGTGCACCAGATCATCGACATGGAAACTCATATTCCTACAATTTAATTTGTAAATAATTATTATAATAGATAAGGTTTGAAAAATTTTAATTTTGTATGTTTTAACTCAACTAATCTTAATAATATTATATGACATCCACGTGATATAAGTGAAAATATAGAATATAAAATAATGTGTCTGAAAACTTCAGACATATTTTATTCAAAAATATGTAATCGTTAATCCACATTATACAATCGTGTTAGAAATCGTATTATTAATTATCTGTATAATAAAAAAAATTACAATAAATAATTATAACTATTTAATAAATTATAATTATTAGATAATATTTCAAAAAAATGTTTAAATATTATGGAAATATTTAAAGAATTGTTCAGCGTATACGAAATATTATCTTAAGAAAAAATTTATCAACATTTAAAGTTGTTAGAATTAATATTTGCAGATTCAAAACAAAATAGTCGAAGTAGACTTTTAAGACAACAATATTAAAGTTATACACCTGAGGTTTGTACAGGTTTTTTCTCATTAACATGATTAAATAACCAAATTCAATTTTAAAATGTAAATGTACAATGTATAATTTATTGTATAGGAACATTAAAATATTTCAACATCGTCGAATAAATTACACAAAACTTTGAGAAGAGAAACATTTTGAAACTTAAAATTTGCACAATAATAATATCTATATAAAACGCAACTAAGGAAAAAATAAATAACTCTTTGTAATGTGAATAAGGTATCTAAAAAAATTTAATTAACATTCTATAACTAAAAAGTAACAATAAAATATGATGAAAAAAATGGTTACGAAAAAAAAAACCATAAATATATTGCAGTACTATAAAAACAACATGGAAGATAGTTAATTTCCTAACCCTCCTCTTGATAAACGAATCAATCCGAAATCAAAATCATGTAAGCAGACAAAAAAAAAATTAAAAAAAAGATAATAATCATAATATACACATTATTTTAAAACCAATGCATTCCTCGCTTTACTGAGAATCTAAAAAAAAAAAATACAATTTTTGAACCCTCGATAATTAAATTCGACTAAAGGGGGAAAAACATTTTCAGAGAGAACGTGCTGAAAAATCGCAAACGCGATCTGTTTAAATTATACCATATTGTGCGTATAATTTCCGGTCAGTGATTTTTAATATGTACAGTGCAATATACGCTTGCGAATAAACTTTTTCAAGTTCAAAGATATAGTGATGCCAATAAAGTGATGCATTATACCGTTAAGCAGCCCATCCTTTGCACATATTGGAAATCCGACCCAGCAGATGACGAAGAAACGGGTGTCCCTGTAGACAGGTAAGCCCACCTTAAGCGTGGCCGTTACCTCAAGGCTAGGAAACACACGGGTATTATTACCACGCGTTTTGAAATCATACCAACAACATACAAGAATTTATTTACGGCGCGTTACTTACGGCAACTACGATTTGCATGATAAATATGTATTATTACAAACGACTATTTACTCATACTTAACACGTGTCTATGTTTTAACTACACAACAACATGGTCGCCAGGATCGGACTGAGCTAGTTTGGGGGCCCCCAAACTTTATGTTCAATGTTCATATTTAAAAGTTAAATAAGATTACCATTTGTTTAGTAACTGTATTTAATATGTGTTGACATTCGCAGGGCTTCTTACTGATTTTAAAATAAATTAATTTTATTTCTAATTTAAAAAAAATATATATAATATTGATAACACTACAAATTTAGAAAACGATAATTCATTATGGGATGCATGTACTGAATTTGATTATGGTCGATTAATCTGAATATTGTGTAAATGCATAATTTCTATTTAGCTTAGTACAACAATCGTCCATATTATTATTAGATTCCTATAAAACAATGAAAGTTTGGTTTGATTTAATAAAAAAAACTCATACAATATAAGTAATGATAAATTAAGGAGATTCAATTTGATTGATGCTACACATTGGTGGCACAAAAACAAAGTGTTAAGCTCAATAATATAACTAACGAGATAAAGAAAATTCAAGATTTTTATTATTTTTATACTGTTTTCTGGAGATAATTTCAATTCACTCTACATTTGATTCGAAAACAAAATGCACTGCTCGCACTCTATTACAAAATTGGTCTAAGTTTGATGTTATTGTGAATGCAGTAATTTATCCTGACCCGTTTAATATAAGCTCATCTATAGATTATATATATTTTTAAATTTCTTTAATCTCCATCATTAAACTATCTAAGTGCTTTTAATATAATTAACAATTTGCATAAATAAATTAAATCAAAAAAGATGATAACGCTGATAGTCAGTGGCGGCTACTTCTAAAATTAATGATGTTGCTGAATGAACTGTAAAACACCCATCTACCCTTAAATGTTACGCATTAATTATTATTAGTATATTTATTAATCTTTATTCTAAAGTTGAACATTTTATTATAGAAATTAATGAAGAGCTAGAATTAAATATTAGTCATTTCACACTGGTTGTTTTAACCAGTAGCGTAGCCAGAAAAATATTTTGAGAAGGTTTTAAATTTTAAATTCTCTCTTACATAAATACCAATATTTTATTTTAATAAGTCGATTAAACATAAATTATAATATAAAATGTATTATTATTCAGTTTATTAAAACTGTGAAAATTATTTAAAGATGACTCGTATAACATTATTCTTATATATTAAAATGATTGTATATTTTACAAAATAAGAGGGAGAGGGTTATAACCAGTTAACCTCCTACCTGGCTACGCCACTGATTTTAACAATACATATTATGCATATAAATTTGTATTGATATTGCCATGCACCCAAGTAACTTGTGAAAGAACATTTTCAAAATTAAAAAATATCAAAACTAAATTAAAATTATTTATTTCTCAAAAAACAATAGAAGAAATAATGAATTTTGAAAGAAATTTTGAAATTGATAAAGAAAGTGTAATTGTTATTATTGGAAATCATTCTAATGAACTTTCAAAACTGTTGTTTTAAAGTTGTATTTTGAGAAAATAAATTATAATTTCATTAAAGTTTTTAATTGCTTAAATTTAAATATTGGCTATCATATCCAGCATTGTTTCGTATTTATTAAGGTCATATCAATTATTATAAATTATTTTATTCATAAATAATAATTTTATAATACAAAACAAATATATTGGGCATATTTTGGATTGTTATACAAAATAAAATATTATTTAGTATGCATAAGTGTATAAAATATTAAAATGTTTTTTAAAATTGCGACACCACATCATGACAAAATGTCCCATAGCACCCGCAAACGCATTATTACAAAATGTCGCGCAGCACAAGCGTCTCCGCCATGAGCGAATATAGAGGGGGAGGAACGAGAAAAGTGCCACCCCAGTTGGAAAAAAATTATATTAAAAATAAAGAATATTTAGAAGAACGAAATAATAGTTAATACAAATAAATGTTGACAGTTTTAGTACAATATTATCACATTATTTGGAGGGAAGTCTAAGCCCCTGAAGACACTCCTACGTTCGCCGATTATACAATTTATCCTGTAGAATGCCCCGACCATAAATAGATGCTGAATCCGCCTTTGGTTCTCTATGTACTTCTATTACACTTGGTCTCGTTGAACAAATCAACAAATAATTAAAAGTAAACGTTTAATCCGACAGCCAGCAAAATAGAGTCGAATCGTAGCAGTAGGTAGTCATGACCGTACTACATGATGGTTGTTCGTTGGTAGTACGTTTTAATTCATCGTTTATTTTATTCGTGAAAAACTCCAATAGGTACTGCCATTAACTGACTTGATTAAAGAGAACAATCATAAATTATTCATATAATCATCACGGATGTTGGAACAGTTTATGCCCTGAACTTGGTGAAAAATTCTGAGCTTCATTTGAAGATATTTTTTTTATTTTTTTTTTAATACTCACCAGACAAATATGAGCAGTATAATTTGTCACATTGGTCTTGAGAATCTTTCAAACTGAAACAATCGGTTGTCGTCGATAATAATAAGCTCCAAATGTTATCTACAAATCGCTGACAATATTACAATCCATTATTTTAGAAATCACGTCCAGACACCGAAGACACGCAGTTGTTACAACAATTTGGTAGGTATTCAATATCCAAAAGAAATAATTACTTATTGAATTTAGTATAGTTTGATAACCTATACTCCAATAATTAAACCCATTAACTACAATATCAATAAAAAAAAACCAAATTAAACTTTTGGTCGATAAATCATGAATATCTATTTATATTATACTAAGTATGTTTGATTGGAAATGAATTTAAATATAAAAAATACAAATTATTAAGTTAGATTATAAACTTTTCGAATAATTCATCTATCATATCATTAAATTAACAATATATTGTCGCTCGTGGTAGTGTAGTGTAATACATACAGTGGTTATAAAATGTCTCTGACCTCACTCCTCGATATCATTTATTTGGGAATTTCAAAAAAAAGCTAATATTTGTAAAATTAAAAAAATTAAAATTTTTCAAAAAACCGATTATTTTTTCATTATTTTCTTAATTTAAACAATTTTATTCCAAAATTACAGACTTTTATGTAATATTATGCCCATGCAATATAAAATTATTGAAGTAAAATTTGATTGATTATGTTTTCCGAGATGGATCATCCTTCTCGAAATTTATCCGTAGACGACAGTGAATTAAAATTTTAAATATCCATGTTATTGACAAAAAATCAATTTAAAAATATTTTTTATACATATTATTTTCATGGATTTTTATTACAAGTAGAAAATTATAATATTATTAAAATTTAAAAACAAATCATTTGATGGTGATAATGGATTTAGTATTTAATATATTCATGTTAATGAAAAAGATAATACAAAACTTTTCTTTTACTTTTAATTTAATTTTTATGACTTGACATTATCAGCAGAAAATTATTTCCTCGAAATTAATAAAGTTTTCCTGGACTTAAAGTCATCTTCAATGTTTAAATGTGCTGATATATCTGTCGACCACTTCAGAATGATTTTATAGAAATTTATGAAATCTTCAGATATGTTTCGCTTAAACTTCTGTAGATCTCCATTTTTAAGCTATTAATCAGAAGCTTAGAGGAGTAGCGTGGAAATTCTTCAGTAGGAGGAATGTTTGCACAACGTCATTTTGTTTTTGATAGGACAAAAGTTTCATTACTTATTTAATTGCCAATGAAAAGACGACACAAAACGTAATCAGGTTATCGTAATTGAACAACTTTGTGATTAGTGATAATATTGTATTATTTCTGTATACGTAATGGCCACGATGAATAACGATGGTTATCGACCGGCGGCAGAGCCACCAGGCCCGGCTCAAGTGTTTAAACAAACATAGGCGAAATTTAGTTTTTGCCGCCCCTTACGTGTAAATATTTTATCAAATATTTTTTTTTATACATAAAAATTGTCCAGGAAAAATACCGCCCTAGGCGTGGGCCTATATCGCCTACCCCTTGAGCCGGACCTGAGTGGCAATCAATAAAATATTAATATATTTAATTTAATATAATTTAATTAATATAATTAATACCTACAATACATCAATTTTGAAAAGGACTCATATCAACCAAATGATTCCTTTTTGACATGTATAATAATAATAACGAAGTTTATTTATTTTCCAACTATAGTTTTATTAGTACAATAATTTAAAAAATATAATAGTTGGTCACTACCAAGCCTGTAATTGTGTGAAAATGAGAATTCATAACAGTATTAAATAATAATAATTATACAGTATACTTATGTGAGAAAATAAAACGAAAAAATAAGAACAAAACATTTATAATAATTACTAAGTTTTAACAGTAAAATTAATTTAATATGATACTGATATCGTACATTTAAAGTATAAAACTAACTGCATAGGTACCTATCTTTAATTTTAAAATGGTAAGAGTTATAAATAAGATTTTCAAATGGTACCTACATAAAATAATTTTCTCAAATTGTTGTTAACTTATCAGTATGTATATTTCATTTTAGACAATCATCAATATGCAGCCCTAAGTACCTAATTTTATTTGTTTTATGAATAGCTGAAAAATCATATATTATTATTACAGTGTTCATTATGTTAAAAATTTTTTGTTTATTTCTAAACATGTATTAATATACGGAAAAGTCTATATAGATAAAAACTCGAAATAGGCTCTTTTTGAAATTCTCAATTCAATTGTACTGACTTTTATAATAGGAAAAAATAGTATAGCATTATATAAAACGCACTGTGCGGTCCTTGAATCCGATAAAGTAGTAGGAATAAATATAATATTAATAGTTGGCCTAATGATTCTATTTAATACTAATAAATAAAAATTCATTAATTTAATTTATAGACATTTAGGTTCTTAGAAAACATTGGTCACGTGGCAATTTTATTCATTATAATCTAAGCTATTAAATACCAATATTACCGATATAATGAATGGCGCCATTTTTTTACTTTGTAAATGAAACCCAAATTACAATGGTGTCAAATGTCTAATACGTAGGTAGAAGTACTCGTAATTAGATACGTACTACAGATTATACAAAACGTTCTATATAAAAAATGTTTCTGCACAAAAAAAACATTATTGTAAGCTTGTAAAACAATTAATGTTCCTTGCTTTAAAAAGACAAAAAATATGAATTCATTCATATTATATCACGGAAAGCAAATAATTACAATAGAACTTTCAACTTGTAGGCAACCAACTTCATTCTCGATTTTCGACAAAAAAAAGATATTAAACACTGATCTTATGGTAGTTCCAAACCTAACCATAGTGTTTTCTCCAAGGTTTACAATTAGAAACTTAGTTTTAATGAAGAGACGAACTCCTAGTAATAAAAAAAGGTTTTAGAAACTTCATTCAGTCCCGTCACAAATTTAACTGTGGGTATTGATATTTTATTTTTATAACATAACTAGTCCATAACAAAATACTATTTTTAGTTCAATGCAATACATTTCTAAACTAGTTCTTCAATTACTATTTATTAGGTCAATAAACCTTTTCTTGTCTACTTGTTAAAATTATTAAAAACTAGATATTAAAAGGAAAAATCTAGAACTATTTTAAGTAACACAATTAATTTTCAATGTATTATATCAATACAGTTAATTTATACTTACAAAGTTGAATTAAAGATGTTCTTGGAAGATCATCTTCACTATCTGAAGAATCATTTTTTGGTACAAGCATTTCACTCAATTTTTTTAGATCAATAAAATCCATTTTTAATGAATTCAAGAATGTTTAATGTTAAAACTAAAAAATATTAAATACGAAAACCTCAGACTATCATTATTGATAAAACATGATTTAAAATAGATGTAATTATTGTTGCCATGACAAATGGAAGCAGACATTTTAATGAAATGACTAACACTGTTATCAAACTGACAAGTAAAAGTAGTATCCTAAATATTAAAAAAATATAAGAATTGGCATTTAGTATTTTAGCAATAACTCAAAATATTTAAAAATAATTATTAAGAACCTTAGAATTAGAATACCAAGTTATTCAATTCACTTATATTGGAAAAACATTAATGTAGTTAACATCATTTATACAATAACTCAAATAATTAAAGTAGCAAGTTAAGAAATCAGTTATTCAGTAATCTCACTAACAATACCAATAACACTATGTATAATATTCCTAAAAGTTCTAAATACATAAAAGATTTAATCTAGAAATATATTATTGCAATGAAGCAGACAGGTAAAAAGTTGGATATAAATGTATAACTACAAAATTATGATAGAAAAATATAAATTTGGCTCTCAATAACTAAAACTAATTTAATTAAGAAATTCATTTATCTTCATAGTATAGATATTTTAAGATAACTGAATTGAGTTTCATACAACTTCAATAAAAATCAAGAAATTAAAATCCATTAATCTTCTTAATGTAATCAATCATAAAGCATCACTGAATCACATACATTTCGGGAATGACTAATGATTACTACACTTAATTTAATTGTATCACCAGATTAAATATCAAAATTTAAGGGAAAACATAACTAAAAATAAAACATCAATATTTTGGTTTTGTTTTTTTTATTTGTAAAATTAAATACAAACACGACAATAAACAGATTAATCATCACCCTTCTTTGTGACCACTTTACCTCCACGAATCCTACCAGTTCTCCTGGCAGCAATGAGACCGACCTAAGATACAAAATAGAAGAGTTAAGATTTACTGGTAATATTATAATTAAATAATTTACCTTTCTTCCGGCACTGGTTCCTCTCTTGACTGTGGATGCTTTACCTATATGTTGATGGTTACCACCTCCGTGAGGATGCTCAACAGGATTCATAGCAACACCACGAACCTTAGGCCAGCAGTTACGCTTAGCCTTGTATTTGTGATATGCACGACCAGCCTTCAACATAGGTTTGTCAATACGTCCACCACCAGAAACCAGACCTTTAAAATACCATATTACAAATACATCATTATCATGTAAAATATTTATAAAAAACAAATGTAAAAGTTTACAGATAACAAATAATGACTAATTGAATCTCAGCTATAATGTAACTTCATTGAAAAATCAGGTTTCAAATGTCTATAAATTTCAACATCACAGATTCATCATAACATTAATTAATGTAATAATTAATATAGAAAGTACTTGAAATACATATTAGTAAAAAAATCTCAGTTATCCAATTACACATCACTGAATATTTTCAGGTTTCAAATGTCATAAACCATCATTGATTTTAATGAGGCATAATGTAATATTTATCTGACTATCAAAAATGACAAAAGAAAAAACATTAAGTTAATTAAAAAAGACACACATTATTATAATTTACCAAATAGAAATCAAATAATGAATTTTATACAAAAAACAAAAAAATTAGAATTTAAGAAGTAATTTATTTAATAAACTACTATAACTTTTATAACAAGAGTTTAAAAATGTACCAAAAATTAGAATTTAGTCTAATGTAGAGTCTAATACAGTTATAACAGTCTATAGTCTAATACATAACATAATTTATTTAAATAACTCTTACCAATCATGGCACGGTTGTTGGATGGGATAACTTTTTTGGCACCAGATGGTAATTTAACTCTAGTCCTTTTCGAGTCAGGATTGTGGGCAACAACAGTTGCATAATTACCAGAAGCACGAGCTAAACGACCGCGGTCACCTGTTTTTTCTTCCAAATTGCAAATAATGGTACCCTCAGGCATTACACCAATTGGCATAACATTACCAATATTCAACTTAGCTGTAAATAAAGATACATTTCATTAATAAAAACAAAAGAGAACTAAGATAATTAAATATTAAATGTTATAGGTTACCTTTTTTTCCACAGTACAAAAATTGACCTGTGTATACACCTTCGGGTGCAATGAACAGTTCTTTTCTTGTCTTATATTTGTATGGGTCTCTGAAATGTACTACAGCCAAAGGAGCTCCACGGCCTGGATCATGAATAATGTCCTGCAAAATAAGGATCGAGTGAAAAAAAAGGATTATTAAAAACAGTTATTTATCCTTATATTGTAAGTCGATAAATCAAATATTATAATCAAAATTGAACATTAGATGGCGTTCAACTGAGATGAAAAATTATAATTGTAAACACAACTTAAGTATTGACTATGAATGAATTAAATGACAAATGGACCAGTGTCCACGAAGAACTCAAACACAAGGACTAAAATAACATTACCTTAACGACTCCCTTGATGTAACCGTATTTCTCAGAGAAATCCAAGTTCCTGAGCTTTGGGGCTCCTTTGCGGTGCTTGGTGTGGGATCGGAAAACGCTTCCCGCACCTTTCCTCTGAGCACGAATGACCCTACCCATTGCGATACCTGTAACACAAAAACGTAGTAATGAAACGGTTGTTTGGCGGAAAACTGCGTCCGGGCCAGCGAGAAGAGCAGGTGAATAAAAATGTACGAGAACGGTCGATAGAGAACTAAGGTGACAAACAAGTCGAAAACTATAATCCACGGACGACGGCCAACCGGTGGTGCTCGGTCCTACGACCAAAACGGGCACCGTTCGGAGAACCAGTGTACACCGTAAAACGGACGGAATGTCGTCGGGTACGCGATCCGGATGACCGATCAACGAGGGGATGGTTAGGATAAATTCGGATTAAGAACAGAAAAATTTGTACTTACGTTTAACGGGTTGACTTAATCAGGAGACTGTACGCACGGGGAAAGAGCCGTGTGATCGAAAAACATTGTAATCAGTGCGGACGCGCAACGCGACGAGTGACACGGGCACTGCAGTGCAGCCAATCGTAGTCCGTTCGGCGAGGACGATCCCGATGATCCGTGGAATTTTCTTCACTTTTCCGATGAAACGTATTCGGGACAGATTCAATTTTAAAAATTAGCTGACGACTATTTTCCGTAAAAATCATTGCTGGAAGCGACAGCGATTCGGCAAAAATCGAAAATCCGTTTTGGTTAGGACCGCAGGGCTGGTAACGTCACATTCAAGGTTATCAGCTGTCTTTCTCCTTTCAATCTGGTCGGCCATTATTGGCATTTGCCATAAAACATTTTTTCATTTCAGCGTTTTTATATTTTTGTGCGTTCGTTTTGTTGATTTATTCTCGCAAGTGCAGCCACGTATTCATTGTCGCCGATTCGTTATAATATGAGTAATGTACCCAATCAAAATGGATCAGGTCTAGAGCAGCAGGTAAGGAATTCAATTCATCCTGTCCGACCATAGTCAACTAGGTTAAATAGACTTGTGTACGTTCATTGTCTTGAATACCGCTATTCTATACTGTAATAATGCCTCTAAATATGAATTACTTGCACTTATAAATTCTATTGAAATAATATAAACTGCTTTTAACATTGATTTTTTGTTTTCATAGTTTGCTGGTCTGGACTTGCAGGGCAATTCACAGCCCAGTTCAGCCCCGAGCAAGTACGTTCCGCCTCATTTGAGAAATAGACCTAATAATTCCGAATCAATTGAACCAGGTAAATTTTATTTGTATATGGTAGTTCTTGTTTTTTACATTTGATTCAATTATTCCCAACCATTGGATGTAGTTTTCTTTGTTCTCTTTGTTAATTCTTCATTGCTTGATTTTTATTAATAAGTGAACTTATTGTAATTTTTAATTTTAATGTAGATATTTTCTAGCTCTGAAGTTCATTAAATCCATAATCTTTAAGGATTTAAGTTTATTTAACTAAAATAAAATGTACTACCTTTTTGTCCCCTAATTCACCTATTTTTAATTTTACTTCTGTTTAATAATTTCTATATAAACTAAACTATTATGAATAAAAACAATCAAATAATTTATTAAAATGTTGGTACAATCTTTTTTGTTCAAACAATTCAAAATCAATATTTATTATATATTTTATTCATGTATTATATATTGTATCTACTTACCTACTAAAATAATTATTAAATATATAAATTAACATTTCTAATATTAAAGTTAATGTATCTTATAATATATAAATTATCATATTTTACTACTGAATAAATGAACATTATTAATTCATAATATAATTTATCGCAACTGCCTCATTATGAGTGGTGGTTATTATTAGTATTAATATAAGGATTTCTATTAGATAATCTTTTAGAAAATTAATTTATAGGCATTTTAAATTGCATGTCTGAGTATATATCTCCTATAGTGAATTATTAATTATTTCTAGTTTTATAATAGTTTTTTAGAATTCTTTATTATCAAAAAGTTATAGTAGTTGCAATAACCAATAAGTACTATATATTCTATTGTACCTATTATTTTTCCTTAACTATATCAATTTAAATAAGTTTTTCTCATTGAATGTACTACATTGATAGACATAACGTAATCCATACATGCTACTATTTAATAACTTCTCTTTTTATTTTATCTAAGAAACCTGATTATAATTTAGTCTTTAATATTAAATTAAATATAATTTCTGAGGATATTAAATAAATTACAAAAAAAAAAAATTGATGAACTATGTGTTCAATTTCTTCCTAACAGTATTCTGATTTAATCTTATTCCAATTTAATCATTATTTCTAAAAAAAAATTATTAAAATAGTTGTCTACTCTTTAATATTTCAACTGCTTAAGTATCAAATTTTTAACTACTATATTGTTATATAAAAGCTAAATTTAAATTCTTAGTTAAACAGTCCTTTGAAATAATGTATAGTATCTATTTTCATACCCATGTATCTTATTTTTAAAAAAAGGTAAAATCTACCTATAGTGTGAACACATTGAAGACAAACGTCGTGTTAGACACGGTCGACAGGTTATGTTAATCTTATATAGTTTTATATTATTTATATTTATTTATTTTAAATTTATTATTAGACGTATAAGCAGACACCGCGTTAGACACGGCGCTCATCTCCAACGCAAATACAACATGAAAATTCCCCGTCTCCAATGTGTTAACATATTATGTTCCCTGTCAAATCTCTATGAATGCAAAAATGTATTAAATCAATTGAATAAATTAATTTAAGTATCTTAGGTTATAAATTAGACACACACTAAACAATTTGGACGAGCGAGTCCATAGTTTTAAAAACATAACAATTACTGAAAATTAAACATTGCTTTTTTTTTATGAGTTGTATTCACACAACAGGGAAATGTGACGTATATTTTGTAACGTTTAGTTGCACCGAAACGCACATGTTTTATTTTAAGCAATATTTTGTGACATAAAACATGGATATGTGTATTTAAATTACCTAGAGTATAATCCACTTACTCTATCCAATTAAAAAAAATGTAATACTTCAGAATAATTTTTTTATTGTATTAAGCATTATTTTTTATAAATTAATTAGGTAGTTATTAAAACAAAGCATTTTTTGTAAATTTAATTTTACTATTGTTAAGTACCAACAATATTTTTTTAAAACATTTAAAAAATCTTGGAAGTTTGTATTGTTCCTTTTTGAATTTATTCAATTGTGAGCAAACTAAATATTTTATTTCATAGAAATAAAAAATTTAATTTTATCTTCCTACATTAAAATTAGGTGGTATCTGAGTGTTTTTCTCTTTTGAAAATTCACCTCGTTCCCCATCAAACAATTTTATGTACATGAATAAAAAACTATTTGCTAGTTTATAACTTACCGTTTTTTTTTACTTTATACCAATATAATTAAATTAATATTAATTACCAGTAAAATTATATTTCTGATACATAATGGTTTTTAATAATTAATAATAATAATAATTTTATATTTTCATTATATTTCCTAAAAATATTGAATATTATCGTTGAGTAAAAAAAAATTGTTTGTTTATCTACTAGAAATCTCAGATAACGAAAGAAATTTTAACGGACCTCGTCAATCATCTGGTACTTATAAATCATTATGTAGAACATATATATTGTTAAAAAATTATATTTTAATGTTTTATCATATTTAGATGGCATAATTTTTTCAGGAAACGATCGTCGTGGTGGTGGTCGTAGAGATGATTTGGAAGATCGTTCCTACAATGGATCTGCGAGTTCCGGTTATGGTGGCGGTCGAGGCGGAGGTGGTTATCGAGGCAATTACCGCAATGATAGAGAAGGCGGCGATTGGTCGCGTTTCAATCAAGGAGGCGGTGGTGGTAGGTGGCAAGAAGGTGGTGGAAGAGATGGGAGAAGGTAACTAAAATTATATTTATAATAGCCATTTTTTTTCTACTTTTAATTAATAGTGAAATTATTAGTTCATTAATTGAATATCAATTGTTTTTATAGATCTGGAGAGAATAGAAGAGGTGGCCGTTGGGATGAATCAAGTGCTCCTAATCAAGATTGGACAAAACCACTCCCTCCTGATGAGCGATTGGAAGAAGAACTTTTTGGAAATCGTAGCACAGGCATTAACTTTAATAAATATGAAGACATTCCAGTTGAAGCAACTGGTGATGATGTACCCCCTCACATTAATACTGTAAGTAAAGTGAAGTCTTCATATATTAGATATAAATATAAATTTTCAATCTTTGTTTTTTAGTTTGACGACATTAAGCTGACAGATATTATACGCATGAATATTTCTTTGACACGTTATGATACTCCTACTCCAGTACAAAAGTACGCTATACCAATTATTATTGGTCGTCGTGATGTTATGGCCTGTGCCCAAACTGGTTCAGGTAAAACAGCTGCATTCCTGGTTCCAATACTTAATCAAATATATGAAAAAGGACCATCTGCATATAATATGGGTCCTAAGGTTAGTTGAAAATTAATCACAAATTTATTATTTTATTAATTAAATTCATGTTTTTTAGCTTCAGTCAAGACGTAAATATCCTCTTGGTTTAATTTTAGCTCCTACTCGAGAATTAGCTACCCAAATATATGATGAAGCAAAGAAATTTGCATATCGTTCTAGAGTACGTCCTTGTGTTGTGTAAGTATATTTTTTAAAAATGAGATATATTAATAATTTATAATTAACTAATTCTGATGATTACTAGATATGGTGGTTCCCATGTAATGGACCAAATTCGTGATCTTGAACAAGGATGCCATTTATTAGTGGCTACTCCAGGTCGTTTGGTAGATATGTTGGAGAGAGGAAAAATTGGGTTGGACTTCTGTCGATACTTAGTTTTGGATGAAGCTGATAGAATGTTAGATATGGGTTTTGAAACACAAATTAGACGTATTGTAGAGAAGGACTCTATGCCTCCTCCAGGTGACAGACAAACTCTTATGTTCTCGGCAACATTCCCTAAAGAAATCCAAGTACATTATAGAACTATATTAAATTAATGATATTTAAGTTATGCGTTTTCATCAATATTTTTGCAGATGTTAGCCAGAGATTTTCTTGACAACTATATTTTCTTAGCTATTGGTAGAGTTGGTTCGACATCTGAAAATATTACCCAAAAAATTGTTTGGGTTGAAGACAGAAACAAGAGATCCTACCTGTTAGATTTATTAAACGCTACTCCAATCAGATCACGTTTGTTAATTTGATAATAATTATTTTCTATTTTATTAATCGCTGGCTTTTTATTACAGAACCAGCTGAGTCTTTGATATTGGTATTTGTTGAGACTAAAAAAGGCGCAGATTCATTGGAAGAATTTTTGTATTCCAGCGGTTATCCAGTTACCTCAATTCATGGAGACCGAACACAACGAGAACGTGAAGATGCTTTAAAAAGTTTCCGATCAGGAAACACACCAATTTTAGTTGCAACTGCAGTTGCAGCTAGAGGTTTGGATATTCCTCATGTGACACATGTGATTAATTATGATTTACCATCAGATGTTGAAGAATATGTTCATCGTATTGGTCGTACTGGTCGTATGGGCAATTTAGGTAAATTCTAGATAGATTCCATAATTTGAATCAGTATTTAATTTTAAGCTTATATTAATAATTGTATTTCATTCTGTCGTAATTAATTTGCTTAGGTTTGGCTACCTCATTTTTCAATGACAAAAATCGCAATTTAACTAGAGACCTCATGGAATTGATTACCGAATCAAAACAAGAATTACCAACATGGTTAGAAAGTATGGCTAGTGACTTTAGGATTGGCAGTGGAAGAAGAAGTAATGGATCAAAGGGGTAAATATTTTCTATATTTATTGATTAAATAAAATGCATTAATGCAATACCAATGATGTATAAATTAAATATTTTGAAATTTTAGTGGTCGTTTTGGTGGCGCCGGTTTTGGTTCTCGAGATTATCGTACTCAGAGTAGTATGCCACCATCACGTGCTGGTTCAGGACCTCCACGCAGAGATTATGGAGGTGGCAGTAACAATGGTAACTATCAACCTGTACTCTCAATTGCTTTATTAGCAATAATGCATTTATTTTGAATTTGGTGATTTATTGATAAAGCATTAGCAATTCTTGTTTTCGACCATTTTTTTTAACAGAACCAGTCCTATATGAAATGGATTGTTTTTTTGACGAAATATCAAAATAATGGAAATGCTTCTGTTGCCTATTATTTTATAAATTTTCTGTAATTAATTTTAGTCGGTTCTAAACAAAAAGCAAGTGAATATAGAGTCTAGACTTTAGATGAATGTTGACTGGAAAAAAAAAGTTTATATTGCGTACTATTTGTACAAAAAGATGAAAAGAAAAATTTGGATAGATCTTATTTTATTAGAAAGAGAAAGTTTTTAATTTCAATATCTACATCTACATTAAAGTAATTTTAAAATTGAAAAAATATGGAGTAAATCTGGTATTAACATTCTTATAGACTGGTGAGTTTCACTGCAATGTACCAGTTTACTGAGAGGACAATGTACGGCAATCCAGTGCTTATTAGCTAACTGGAATTGTTATCATCCAATACATAAACAAATAATTTAATCTGTATAACACTGCAGTGGATAATGCTCTGTTGTCAAAAACGGACCATTGTCTGTTGCTGTTTTCAAAATCCTTATACTAATTTTTGTAAAAAAAAAATTTTTTTTTTAAGGCGGTGGATTTTATGGTGGTGGAAATTATGGAGGATCATATTCTGGTGGTAATACTGCTTCCAATGGTAATTCCAAATCTCCTGATTGGTGGTCTCAGTCCTAAATGTGCAAAAACTAAAAGTTAAAATCAACTGAAAATAAAGAAAAATTATATTATTTTAAAGTTTAGAAAGAAAGAAAATGAATTAAAGTTTTTTATAAATTGATATGCCTCTTTAATTTAGGATAAATGTCATTACACGATAGATAAAATTCATTATTTATGTATTAATGAATTTGATTTCAAACAAAGTATGTTTATATATTATTTTTTTTTATTTCTGTTCTAAGCTTTGTTTTGACTAGTAAATAAAACATCTAATATATATGTTGAGATATAGCTTTAAATCTTCGTTTGAAAATGAGTATTTAAAATACAAAAACAAGAATGTTAAGCATTTTATATAATTTCTACTCATAGTGTAATATTAATACAAAATTGTTACATTAAATATAGATAACAAGAAGCTGTATATGTATTTAAATTTATTTATAGTTAATGAATTTGAATAAGACAAATAAAATTCATAATCACTTTTTGTATTTCATCTTAGTTTTAAATTATTACCTATCAATTTAGTTACCTTTTGCTTATAGTTTGGCATTGGAAATCTAAATAGTTATATGAGTATTATTTATTTATACATTGGGTTTTACTTTAAGTGATAATTTCTATATCAGAATAGGTTTCTTCACAATTGGGTGTTTGCTACTTAAGTTTACAATATCTGTATGCTTATTTGAGTGTTTTAAATACCTCCATTATTTAAGTTATAGATAGTATTATTTCCCTTTAGCTCTGTATTGTTTCGTTCATTGTGCTTTTTTTTACTTTTTTTTTTATTTTTATGTATGTGCAATATAAAAATAAGAGAAAATTTCCCTGTATTATTTTTTAAATTTTCATTATTCGTTGTGTCGTATATCAATATTAGTTTTTTATACCACTTAAATATATTTAATACATAATAGTATTTAATTTCTAATGTGAACAAATGCATTTATTTCAGACTCATAATTGTTTGCACACTTAATTTTATATTTAAAGTTAACAAAGATTTTTTTTTACTCTTATGTCAACCACCCAATTATATAGTATTAATATATTTTACTGATATCTATACTGTAACATACTATTTAAATATTTTAGATAGAATATTTGTAATTATTTGTGCAACATTAGTTGAATATGAAAAAAGAAAATTAATGTATGTGATATAATTTAATTTATATCAATAATTATATTATAGACTAAACCACTTGATGGTTATAATTAGACTCAAAAGTCATCTGTCTACTAAACTGATTAACAAATGTTAAATTAATACGTTCAATTCTTTTTGTGTAATGAATGTATTTTGTCGAATAAAACTTGATACTTCTATGTATCATACATACAACTTTCTAAATCTCGGTTTCATTTGTTGATATTGACATCGTGAGATGTTTGTTCACCTGTTGCACAGTACTGTAAGTGATATTTGAGCCAATTTGGCTAAAATTTGAGAAGTGTTGACTTATATAAAGAATACGTAACAGCACTAACATATATATAATGTGAATTAAATTTTCATGGTCACATTTGTATTACAGTACTCAGTATAATATAGATTGATATAAGATACAACACAATTATTGGTATATGGCTCGTATGTACAAATACAAGAAATTTTAACTAATTCTGTTCAATGTTCAATTGTTCATATTATTCTATTGGAAGATGAAAAGCTTTGAGATTCTTAAATTACCAATAAAAAAAAATAATTGAATAGTAGCCATGTTTTAAAAAATACTTAATTTGTAGGAGAACGTGTCCCCTTCGTCTCTCTGAACCTACATCAGTGGTGGCACAAAGCACTTAGACGTTTTATGAAAATGTAAATTAAAAAAAAAACATTTTCTCGCTACCAAGTAGAGTAGGTACCAACTAGGACGTATACAATATTGGATTGAGCAACACAAAAACAATTTTTTAATACATTCCACGTGTTTTTATTTTATCAATTCTATTAATAACAATCAACGATTACAACACAAACATTTTTTTCTATTTTTCTCAAATTCTAATAAAATAAATGTATACAAAACTTTAAGTTTATAAAAAGCTGCGTTTTAAAAAATAATCACATCAATAAAAATCAATGGCTTATTACGTTTGTTTAAATCCGTTACCGCGGTCGTAGTAAAATATCCCGAAACGCTCACACAAACACACTTAATATTATGGATATTCGGTATCGCAATAACATTTGAATACGAACTTTTTCCACACAAATGTTAAAATATACATTTTTAAAGAAATACTGAACAAATAGCGTCGTCGTTGTCGGTGGTACACATAATATTTATAATATAATATATTTATTTGATAAAAATGTGCGCTCAAAAATAAAAGTCTCATCAATGATTGCCTAAATTGTAAAACTGAATAGAAATGAATTTATATTCGTGATGTAAATACGTTTTTAATAATTACGTATAATAATTGAGACGATCCTCGGCGTGTGTATAACAATATATATATATATATATATACGTATATTGTATTTATACACAATTGTGCAACACTATGTAGTCTATAAATGTCGTTATTTATAGTTGTTTTTTATTTCTACGCATAATTATATAGGTAACCTATTATTGAACACAATGTAATACAATTAAAAATATTCTTAATCTAATCAAATCGGTTTGACTATCTTTGCACATACAGGTATGTCTATTTATCTTATTATATTAAACTTAAATATTTTTTTAATGAGCGGTCATATAAACTTTTTATTTAAAAAAAAAAACTATCTTTTTTCGTTCATTAATCTTCTGGATTATCATCGTACTTATATAATGGATATAATTGCATATTGTTTAGGCGATGAGCATTTTCGTGGTACTTATAAGCAAAAAATATCTGCTTATGAATGTACAGATTATCATATTGCTGGTACAATTAGGCACGCATTTAAACAAAAAAAATTATTATTTCAGATATCATTGATATCCGTATTGAATAAGTATTAAAATCGAAGGAAAATTAATAAAATTTATCAAAAATGTTGATTCTTAAGAAAAGATATATATTTTCCTTTTTTTTTTTTTTAATTGACTAGAACTTCTTAGTTTAAATGCACATTATAATTAGTATTTTTTTATAATACAATATGTATTTGATTCAAAAATTATAGACAATATTGTTATAGCATAGTTATTTTACTATGTCTCGAATGTAATTAAAATAAAATATTGATCAACGAAATAAAACAAAAACATGTTTTCGTACAAATCTAGCGATTACATCTTAATCGAAAAAATTGTAATGACACTTTATCGTTTGTGAATTGCCCATACAGAACTCCTTAAAATCTGGTACAATTATTTTGATACGTCTGCTGTACGAACACGATTCAACTTTTTTTTGTACAAAGTGTCTCGATATTAAGTAATTATTAATTTAAGCGTTTTCATCATCCACCAAGTGTATTTATGTATACATAGATTGTGTATAACATGCGCAAAAAAAAAAATGTTTTTAAGTTTTATAAAAATCAATTATTACAAAACGGTTTAACGTTAAAAAATAATATTTAATCGTCAAAAACGTGTACGGTTTAATGTTGTCAAAAGTATGTTGTGTCTCGAACAGATGACTCTGTATAAACGAATATCGTTAAAAAATAAATATACTTTGAATTAAAAAAAACTTAATATACCTATAATTAAAAATTGGTTTAATACTTATATACTAAAAAGCTATACAATTTATTTGTACAGAGTGTGCGCCGTATATATATTGATTTTCTATAGTTATTCGAAACAACGTTAATAGATTAAAGCCGACTAATATTAACGTCGTGTAACCAATTAGGTTAAAATTCTAAAAATAAGTAACAAACTATAATCAAATTTTATATTTATTCTTTTTTTTTAAAAAAACCTTTAGACCACCTTTCCATATAACAAATGCTCTTCCATTCTTCTTTATTCTTTGCTACCTCTTTTTAGCTCCGGTCTGCATCATCTCCTCCTATGACACTTATATAATATTTTCTTACATAATTTTCCCAAAGTGATCTTGGTCTACCCGGCGGCTTTTTTCACTTGTAATACAACGAAATTTCAAAAAATAAACCGTTATCATTTTCGTATTGCACTACCACAGACAAAATGATCGTCGTACAAATTTAATAATATTTAGGAACATTTATAGGTTTGTATAGTATTATAAACTTTTTCTGAACGTCAGAAATAATCGAAATTCGATCTATACCTTCTACTGCATATTAAATTAATTTAGTAGTAAGGTTCAAAAACTAATTCAGCGGAAAAGTCGTCGCTGCGCTTAGGTACTTTTGAGTTTACAAACATTTCAAAACACAATAAATGGGTACGTGGGTACAATATGTAATAAATAATTTTTCAGCGGATTTAAAACGATACTTTGGTATCATTAATCTACATAGTTACATAGTTAATACCAAATTAATTGTCTCTATACATTGTAATATACCTATTGTAACATCGACGTAAATACACACTTAACGACGGGTAAAACAGATACAAACTTGCTAAAACAATTATGATTAAATTTACTAATGTACCAGTAAAGTGCGTTTAATGGATATAATATATACATACATGTATATATAAAAAATCTGGACGGGGTACGTTTTGTGGGACGCGTATTGAAGTGTTAAGTAAAAAAAAATCGTTAAAAACAAAATCGTAACAAAATAATAATGCACACCGATGCAATCCCGTATTATACATTTACCTACGCGTAAACGGTATGGCTGCTGACGGTAAAGCAATTTGTTCTTGATATTCAGTGTATTGAATGCTAAAAGTAAACACGCGTGTATGGTTTACAAATGTCTATAATACAACCCTATTTACATATTCGCACCGGTTAAACCGCTCACGTAGAGCCGTTACGAAAGTCCGCGACGGCAACTGTCGATCACGCGTGTACGGAGAATAAGTGTCGCGACCCGTGCGCACGGAAGACGCGGAACTGCAAACTCCCGACCGGCATAATCGCGTATCGTAACGTTACAGATTTGAACGGTTAACGAGTGTGCGAGAACGAACGGTGAAAAAAAATGGTCGATATTGTTTTGATTGTTTCGAGCTACACGAAAACCACACTGGCTAGATAAAATCATCACCCGACGAAAATTCACAACGGTAAAATGATATTGTGAACAGATCACGGATGGGGTACACGTGTACCACCGATAAAGCCGTAGCAAATCGATTTGAACGAAAGTTCAATTGGTGCAGTCGATCTATCGATCGTTTGCGTGTCATCTCTATCGTTTGAATCATAACTGCACGGTGCGGCAAATCACAGTTCCTCTGTTCCGTCGTTTTAATTTATTTTCGCTTACCGCATACTGTTTTAGATCTTTATTACTTTATTCCGGTAGATCGTTTTGATGCGTACCATCGGTAACGAAAAATATAAAAAAAAAAACCGCTCAAATTTCCGACGACAAAAAATATCCGTGTAACACGCTATCCGGACGAAATCGTCATCGGTAAACGCACGAAAATCGGTCACCACCGCTGTTGCGTTTGATTTCGTGCGATCGTGCGTGCACCGCGCCCGTAAATTTTGGTGAAAACCGTCACGTGATTCTATAACATACTACGCGTTTGATTTTTTCTTAACACGAACGAGGCCACGCCAAAGAAAATATTAGCTAGTCCTGTTCGTTTTTAAACGCAGATCCGCTGCTGGATCTGTTCGCCGACGAACCGCGAGTATTATAAAAATGTAATACTTTGTGATTCGATGAAACGGTCGGAGGCGTATAAATGTTCGTGAGACGTGAGTTTTTTCTCGTCCGACTCGCGACGTGAATGTATTACGTACATTGTACACCGGGACTGTTCCGGGAGTGAAAAAAGAAACCGAATCACTAATGTTTTCCTTGATCGCGGTTCAACCGAGGATAAAAAACGATCAGCGTGTACGCCAACCACAATGTTGCGCACGAATTACGCAATTGAAAACGTCCGACTCTACGAACGCGAATCGTAGGTACGCGTAGTTATAAGATACCTATACGAAATAATAACGATAATGTAACGCGTCGCGGTAAACGTACACGAAAAACTATTTTTAAGCGTAGGGGACCGAATATCGGGAACCGAGGCTCGCCGTAGCCCGGCGGGACCGTCTAGGTTTCGCTCGCACGTCCGCACCGGTGTACCGCCCGTCCGCCGTCTACAGTATCGTCTCGTCGAACTTCACCTCGCGGCTGCTCGCGTTGCTGTTGTGCCGCCGCAACGAGCCGGGTGCCCGGGACGGCTGTTGTCGCGGCGCCGCGGCCGCGTTCAGCTGCAGCCCGACCACGCCGGCCGCGGACACCAACGGCACGATGACCGGCAACAGCGCGACCGCCGGCTGCTGCTGGTGGCGGTGGCCGTCCAACCGGTACAGCGGTATGTCGTCCGGCCGGCGCCGCGGCTGCAGCATCGGTTCGCGTTCCTCGTCCGCCGAAGACGAGTGCCCGTCCACGCTGTTGTACACGGTCGTGTTGTTGGACGCTTGCGTGGTCGTCACCGGTATCCAACACTTCCTCGGGCCGTGCACGGGACCTGCGCAGATCGCGTTACTGTAAAGTGTGCGCGCGATACCAGTGGCGTAGCCAGAATGGGTGTTTTGGGTGTTAAAACAACCCCCCCCCCCCCCTCGGCCGTATTTATATAAAATATATAATGTTTATAACGCAGATATACAATTATTTGGTCGTGGTAAAATGTATTTTGTTATGCCGTATTGCCATATTGTTCACACACTCGCACGGTTTAAAAGGTGTACTTATTTATCTCAATAGGTCAATTATCATGTTTTTATGCAAAAAAAAAAAAAAAATGGAAAAATAATTTTATTTCTTAGTCTTGTCACCAATAGGTTAAGATAAACTTTGCGTCTGTTCACCGAGAACAATAACTTTAAGACTTTTAAAATTAAATCAAACGCGCCCTTCGGGAAACGCTGAGTCGGACCAATGAGTGGCCGAAGTTACTTGGTTACGAACTCTAAATGCGTTTTCAGAACCCTAATGTGGTCAAAGAGATTGCAAAAAGAAAAATAATGTGGGCGGACCATGGATCACATTTAATCAGTAAGGTGACAGAAGACCCCATTTAAGAAAAATATTTTTAGGGAGACCATAATTTATGTAGGAAGATTGTGCGAAGAACATCAAAGTGGTATGGTCTTCAAGGCCGAAACCGAGCGAAAGAAGAAAAAAGAAAAAACTAAAAATAACTAACTACATAATACACTACTAAAAATTTATTCTGTGATATTATTTTGTGTTTGGTATATCAATATTTTATTATGGATAACGACACAATGCGCAATAAATTATGGTTTTTAACTATTTCCTGGTTCTTCTATGGAAATGTGAAAAAATACCTTCATTCGACGAGTATTTTTAATTTGAATTGTTTATAACAGTTGAAAACTAATATTACATAATTTAGTACCTAATTGTACATGTTATAAATATTTTATAACACTCAAAGGTCAAATGAAATTATTTTAATGCGAAAGGTCTAATTTCGTGGTCGCTTTGCCCCCAACAAGTTCCACCTATAACTGACAAGGAATTAATAAGATATATAATAATAGTTAATGTCAACTATGTACTAAAACACTCCAAGGGTAATTGTGACGTATCATATATGTATAAGATATATTATTCTGGAAACTATTGTAACAATATATGAGTAAATGTTAGATTGATTAGAAAAGTTTTAAAAAACTAAACCTTAATGGTACGTGAATAATAACTATGAAAACATACTCTTTTTGTAAATAAGCCACGTCCGCCTACACTATTATTTCAAACATTATCGTCAGTCGCAGTGAGTATTAAAACCCTGACAGACAAAGAGATAGTAATGTAGTATCATTACATTATTTCTATTCAATTTAAGTGGGAACCCAGTTTGATCGAACAACCATACTCTGATTTGTTTTTGAATTATTTGTAGGTTTTCGATTGAATAAAAACGTCTGTTCGAAAGTAAAAAACGCAATGTCAATCTGATATTATTTATGAAAAAAAAAGATGATAAAATGTTATTTTGAGGGAAAAAATTCGTTTTATTTATTTCTTACGGAGTAAATATTACACAATGCAGGTAGCGCAGACTTTTGAAAAGTTCACATCTATAAGGCACATTTATTACGCATGAATACAACGTAGTTAGTCGTAATATTACCAACGCATAGTCAATTTTACATATAATATTATTATAATGGTTTTTAAACTTTATGTAAATTCTCGTTAAAATTCAATTTATTTTTAAATCCTATTAGAAAATATTTCATCGTTTTTATTAATAATGCGCTCAGTGCACTTCTCTGAGCCACCACTAGCCCATACTATTATTTTTTTTATAGATGGAATTATAAAAAAATAAAAATAAAATAAAAAAAAATGTAAAAGTGTGTAATTATAGTCTAACTATTATCTTTTGACGAAGTATCTCCAATAGGAGATCTCTTCTTTCTGTTATTCTTGCGTTATTTATTATTATATCAATTAAGCTTATTGTTCAAATTTGTAACAGATTTCTAAATATAGAATTATGTAAAAAAAAAAAAAATACGTGGAATTTTAAAAATTTATATTTAATGCTTATAAATTTTTTACTCTCTTAAGGGAATTGCAAGCTATGATTTTCTTTCTCTTTCTATCACAAGCGCAGTATAGGAATTTAGACGTTTTATATTTCTAACGTACCGGTCGATCTATTGATGCGATAAAGGTTTTGAAAACTGATTTAAATTTGTTGTTAAGTCTTCTTTAGATCGACTTTTTAATTTTTTTAATTTTGTCTCCCAATGTTTCACAAAATAGGATTAAACAAGTTGGAAACATATGAATAAACAAAATTAATTTTTAGGTATGTCAAGTACAACATTCAAAAAATATGAGAAAGTCGATCTAAAGAAGACTACAACGAATTTAAATCAGTTTTCAAAATCCTCATCGATCGATTGATACATTAGAAATAGAAAACGTCTAAACCCCTATACAGCGCGTGTAATAGAAAGAGAAAGAAAATCATGGCTTGCAATCCCTTTAATCGAAACTGTATACAAATATTTTCTTTTTTATCAAGCAAATATAACAATTCAATATTTAAACAAGAACAATGGACGATTAGTTTCTATACTTCAGCGTATTATACAAAATAAATTAACAACAAATACTGACTACGGAAGTAATGCACTCACTATCAACGGGATCTGCAAATAACGACGCCTTCCGGTCTCTGTACCGTTTCCAAGCGTTCGACCGGACCGTTCCTTTGGTTCCCGTATTGACGGCATCGAAGCTCACGCTTCTATAGATTGCTTGCCGCCAATGGTCATTCCGGGCCGCCCGGGTTTGATCGTCGAAACTTTTCGCTTGGCCTAGTTGCTCGTTCAACGAGTACATTTTGTGCGTAATGTCTTTCCCTGTAGCGTACACAAACAGAGAGAAAAATATAATTTCTGGAAAATAAACGAAAGGACTGAAAATGTCAAAAATTTCTACAAAAAATATCTACAAAGGCACGGTAAGCAATATTGATACGAATCATCAATCATATTGTGTTGAACATGAGATATCAATGCTCAATGAATGGCTGCGGAAAATTGTACGAGGTAAAATAAAACTAGTTTTAACCGAGGAATAACTTAGAAAACATGAAATTCGTACAGCGATAATAGTAAATACACGTGGATACACGTTCGCGTACCATTATTTGTTTTAAACATAATATATTATAATTAAGAACAGTGTCGATATATATATTTATACAACACTTAATTGCATTATTGTTTTTTAGAGGCATCATAAGAAGCACTCTATCATTACCAAGTATATACATGAATATATTTAAAATTGTTCCGACCGAGTCCCACTGTTGAAACATTTCCATTCAGTTAAATTATAAATATTTTATTATTTATAACACAATCTAGATTATTTTACGTTAAGAAATAAATAACAATAAATAAACTTTGCATAATATTTCACTAGCTATAAGGAATATATATATATATATCCACTTAAAATTCCAAATGAAAAGTTTTGATAACTGTTGTGTTCGTGAAATTCTGTTAGTCCAACTAATCAATAAATAATACGTTCGTTCTTTGTATTATAAGAATCAAACAGGCGGATATTACTTTGTATAATTATAAAGTTTTTACAAGGAAACTACAAACTATTTCATGACCATAAGCCACTATTAAAAGGAAATGATTCTTAGCAATATTGTTAATGAATACTTACAATTTAAAAACTACGCTGTAATACATATTATATTTTAAATTAAAACAATATTTGTTAGAACGTAAAATAAAATTAAAAATTAGTAAAATTCTACAAATTATAAAAATAAAAAATAAAATATAAAAATTTCAAAATTATATTTATTAATTTTCATCATTACCTACTATTCATGTAATATTTATCTACAATAAATAAAAAAATATCTATATACATTAAATTTCGAGTACCTACTTAGGTATAACTTAAGAATTATTATAATTTATAAAATAATTTTACAAATTTTCTTCTTGTAAAGAATGTATTAGTCTCCCATAGGGTTTCTAGAAAATATTTCACATTATATAGAAATTTATAATTTCATTGTTAAAATTTAACCGACAAATCATTCTTCAAAATATAAATTATATTATATGTTAACAACTTATTGGTATCTTATTTTTTTGTATAACTTTGATTTTTTGTGTTTAATTGTTCTTATTTTTATACATTTTAGAATTTTATCAGCATTAATTTTACCCTATTTTCCCTAAAAAGTAACAACAGTAGAAAATATAAATTGGATCACGTCAACTACGACATATTTATTTTTGAATCACTGTATTTTTAACTTACCAATTAAACTGGTAATAACAGCATGCAACTGTGTTCTGTGTTTAAATATTCGATTGAGTTTTGATTGTTGCCAACACAAATAAACACAATCTTCAGCGGCAGTTATGGTCACCTAAAAATTATTCATACAACAAATTGTATAATTTAAGTGCAACAAGTTATGGATCACATTATACAACATTACTTGAAACATGGTCTCTCCGTGTATTAAATTTGAAGCCATCCATTCAGGTGAATCGATAAACTGATACGAATTGATATTGTGCAATTGTGTACCATCGCAAGTGACACTACACCTAAAAGTATAAAAAAAACTCATAAATATCAAGCATATAGTATGGAAAGACTAGTGCCGTAACAGGTTAGTAACAAGTTAGTAACAAGCCCAACTGCAAGTATTATGTGTAACGCTGGAGAACTCCCACTTGAATTTAGAAGGATTAAAGAAACACTAAAATTTGTAACTAAATTCTCAAATAACAAAACTCAAGTCCCAACCAGAAGACCTCTGAATATACATAACAGTCCAAACATACCTCGCACTATCGACGACATGTATAAGGCCATAGCAGATATAATGAAATTCAAACCAACTTTGTTTAACAAAATTATCTTCCCGTCTTCCCCTCCGTGGATGTGGAATATTAAGCTCAATACCCAACTACTCGAACTCAACAAAAAAATCTCCTCAACCTCAACTATAAGAAATAACTTTTCAGAAATAATTGAAGAAAAATACCCTCACCACATAAAAATCTTTACGGACGCCTCAAAATCCCCCAATGGAACCGGATTCGCATTCATAGAAAATAACAAAACTTCAATGTTCAAATCTCCTCATGAAACGAGCATTTTTTCCGCTGAAAGTCAAGCCATCCAAAATGCAATCTCACACGCGACGACCTTAGTGTCCGAAGAAATACTTATAATCAGTGACTCTCTTAGTGCACTCCTAGCCCTCAAAAATCCTTACCCCAAAAATGAAATAATTCAATCCATCCAAGAAAAGTTATCAAACTCAACAAAAAAAAACGAATTTCTATGGGTTCCCTCCCACACTGGCATAAGTGGCAACGAACTAGCTGACAAGGCAGCCAACGAAGCAATAGCATCACCCAGCTCGGTATTAATAAACAAAATAACATTTCAAGACGCACTCATAAAAATAAATAATCTAACTAAAAGTCACTGGCAAGACTCGTGGGAGAAGATTTCAAACACAAATAAACTAAAAGAAATTAAAACATCAATCGACCCATGGAAAACTCCCCCATCCTCATCCAGGCACGAAGAAGTAGTTATCACAAGAACTCGGATTGGACACTCCCGCCTAACACACCTGCACCTCATAACAAAAGAAGACAGCCCGACCTGCGAACTCTGTGACAAAGCGCTGACAATCAAACACATCACACTAGAATGCCCCAAGTTCACCAACTCCAGACAAATTCTCGGAAACCCATCAACAATGCAACAAGCACTTGGCGAAAATAACTCCAAAAACATATACAATTTTTTCAAAAACATAGGCTTAGCAAAATTAATTTAGAAAAATAATTGTACATACATATTATATTCTACAAACTCCCTCTATTGTTAAACATAATGTGTCCCCATAGGTTTAAGATCAATATTTTATTACTACTATTTTGTAATTATTACAGGCTAATAACCTCAGGAGTTGAAGCCTTATTTAAATAAAAAAAAAAAAAAAAAAAAAACTAGTGCCGTAAAAAGTATTCATTCGATTTCGTATCAAAGTTTATTTTATTTTTTAAACATGGTTGTACGGGCAATATACTTATATTACTGACGCGCAATTTTTGTAGGTCCCAATTAGCTCGATATCCATAAATATAATTCACTTTATACAAACTGTAACAGCTGTTAAGTGCAAAATACTTACGAAGTACCAATGTAATTTTAAATGAACAACAATTGAGTCATAAAAGTTTATATATTTTAATTAAGAAAAATAAACGTTTAACAGTTAGAAGATAAAAAGTAACAATACTGTTGTAAAAAAAAAAAGAATAAAAACGTTTCCAAACAAACTGTTATTTAATGAATAATATATAGATATAGATATGTTTTAAAAATGTTTTATTTATTTATTTATTTACTTTTAGAAATCAAATTACAGTTGTACAGTACTGGTGAGTGAAGAGCATTCAAAAAATAGAAAAAAAATTATTGTGAACAAATATACGAGTACATGGTCTTTTTACAATTAAAATAACTTATTTATTTATTTATTGTTACTGAGTTTCACGAGTTTTAAAATAATAAGGATTAAATAGTTATCCCAAATAATCAAATATGCTCAATATTATACACATATTTTTCTTTTAATATTTGAAACACCATATGCGTTTATACATTTCTAAACTACTTACATAATTTTGTTGAAATTTGGTACAGAGATAGATTACACTTTGGAAAAGAACTAAATTTTTTCGCAAAAAAAGGATAGAGAAGTATCGGTTCACCTGATAAAACTCAAACGAGCCGTTGTTGTTTTTTTGTTGCTATAAAAACCGAAAAAACGGAAAGGAACTTTACTGTCACACACCTTAGAGTGCACCCAAAAAATTATGAACATGTCTATTTTACTGTAGATTATTTCACAGGAGACAAATCATTGACAATCATACGATCACGAAATAATACTGCACTGGTAATCGCCATATCATCAAGAATTGTAGCATCTCTTCTAGATGGCGATCGAACAGCGCATTCAGTACTAAAACTGCCATTGAATGTAGAAATCACTGAGTTACCAACATGCAATATCACCAAAAATTCAAGAATCGATAAAGTACCAACTATAAACTTGTATACTCATTATATGAGATGAATGTAATATTAAGCACAAAAAGCATTGGAGACATAATGTACTATTGATTATAAATACTATAGTATAGTAGTATAATAATGATTGTACCAACACTAAAATCAAAAGTTCTTCGGTGTTGCACTCAATTTCTTATATGTTAATTTTCAACAATTTCTACCAGTTATGGTACCTACTAATGAACTCAATGCATGTCTCAATTAATCGGTTATATGGCAACGTGTACATAAATTGAACTTGAAGACTAATATTCGTGTACAACTATAAAATGATACATCTTCTGATCATTTCGCAAAACAATTATTGGACATTGGGAATGGGAAAATGGAAATCAATGAATCAACACATTAAATAATATTGCCAACAAATTTCTGTAAGATTACAGCGATCACCGTCGTGACGTATTAATTGACAAATTTTTTTCAAACATGACATAAAATTACAGAAATCATCAGTGCACGGGCCATATTAGCAGCCATAAATAACGATGTCAATACAATCAATTTCGGCATTCAAAACAGAATTTCAGGCAACACAACAATCCAAAAGTTCAGCGATACTGTAAAGAATTAGGACAAAGTTATCCAATTTAATTCTTAAATGCACATGATTTACCAGGCATGCCACTGCACGTTCTAATATTGAAAATTGGTATGTCTATCATTATTCTACGAAACATCAATTCACCATGATTCTGGAATAATACTAGGCTTTCGGTAAAAAATTGAATGAACAATATTATTGAATTTACAATTTTAAATGGAAAATGTAAAGGTGAATATGAACTGTTGCCACGCATCTCGATGATTTCAACAGATATGCCTTCAAATTCAAATGTTTGCAGTTTCATGTGCAACTCGCTTTTGGGATGACCATCAACGATAATAATTCAAAATAAATTTAATATTGTTATAACGATATAATTATTTCTTTAAATTTAGTAAACGGCATAGAAAGACATGTTTATATACACATAGACTTCAAATAGTATATTGTAATAATCTATTAAAAACGATGTCCTTAAAAAGACTTTTCCATACCAAGCCAAGTAATTTAGCTAGTAATTATATTTAATGTATTAAATAAATTTGAAAATATATTGTAATATTAACTAATAAAAGTAATAATTATAATAGTAGTAATGGTGCATAATATTATACTTATTTTTTACAGTAGGTACATGTAAAATTATGAGAAATAAGCTGGAAAATACAAGTTTTATGAATTATTTCAAATCTAAATGATTTACTTTAAACACCTTAACAAAAGTAATATAGGTCTTTGTTTTTTTAACTTAACCTTTATGATTCATCTATAAATATACTGTTATGCTTACGTACAAAAACGTGCAATATTTTTTGAACTTAGTCTTAAGAAAAGTTATTTCAATGTTTGTAAATTTATGCATAATATTATTAAATTATACATTATAACGCTATTTACTCATAATAATATGCTAATTTATCGTTAGTGAATGTTCTTATTTTCATTGAATAATGTTTATTATTATAAATCAATATTATTGCTGCATTAGAGCCCAATGGGGATCACATTGTATTAAATTTCATTATTATATATTTATGAAATCAAACAATGTCTATTAGCGTAAGTGATTTTACAACAAATATTTTTTCTAGCAAAATATATTTCTTTAATTTTTATGAATTTATATTAACTCTTTACCTATCCATCTAAAAAATATGTATGTTAATGAAGTTCTTTAAATATTTAATTTTATAATATAATTATAAAATTTTTAAATATTCATAATAAACATATTAAATATAATCAATTTTAAATTGTTTTTAAATAAATTATCAACAAATATTGTACAGTGGAACCTCATTAAGTCAAAAACTAAATAATTTAAAATAAATGATTTTTTGCGAAAGCCTGGAGTAGGTACTCGAAAAAAAAAATCATAGATAACACGAACATTTCGTGTTCCGATTATAGACGAAAAATGACGGATATTTTTTATAATAATTATTATCAGTATAATCGATCCAATAACTAAACTTAATCGCGTTTATTGTGTTTATTATCATATTTTTCATTTGGTTTATTGTTAACTACATTCGATATTGTCAGTTGCAATCGATCTGTTACATGTATACGGTGTAGAGAAAAATGCCTCATAATTTAAAAACATTGACTTGTGGAGAAAATCAAAAAGACCTTGAAACAGTGATAATTGAAAGGAAGGAAAAGGATATCACGGAAAAATTTAGAATAACAGTAAGCACATTCCCAAAATGTTATTTTATTTCGCGAAACGGTGTAGTCCATTCAAATTATACCGTATCGAATAATTTGTTCATACCGAATTGTCAAGCTGTAAATGTATAAATTTTTACCGCTAGTTAAAACTGGAAATGTATATCGTATGATTAAAGATTATCGTGTATTTCCAGCCTGAAAACACATAAAAACTACCAAATGAATCGGTTGGCAATAACCATAACGTACGTATTTATTTAAATTGTTTTCTATTTTTGGCTTTAAAATTAAATGAAAAATTTATTTTTTCACGCGTTTCGGGAATATAAAGGAAAGACAATTTAATTATTGTTTTCTATGAAAATTTGGTGGAGGGGAAATAATTGAAGCCGGAAAACACCTTTTTCAATACAATCGCGGCTCACCTGCCCCTGAGCAGAATGGACAGCCGTTCGTCGCATGCCGTCGCCTCTTCGATCGCGTAATGCTCGCCGGGCATCATCTTCACGATAACCGCTTCCCGGGTGAGCTCCCGGAAATGTTTCTGGCTGACTTTCAGTGGCTTAAACACCCGCAGGTACAGCTCCATGAGTTCGACCGACAGCGCGGGCGGCAAAAACTTCTTGCACAATTTTATCGTGTGCACGCAGTTGATCAGGGCTAGTGACCCGTACCAGAGTAGCGCGTCTAGCGCGCAAACGTCCGTGGACGCCCAAAGACCAGAAAGCAGGAACCCGAGACACAGTAAAGCCCTGCACACGCAAACTATGTATTAGTGATGTTTAATAATCTATGTTATATAAGTTATATAAGTTATATTATGTTATACAGTGTTATATAAGCCCACAGTAACGACCTGAACTGTGCACTTACACGGAAAACGTTTTATTAATCATTTTAATTTTGGCTTATAATTACATATTGTTTAGGATGGTCGAAAAAAAAACACAAGAATAGTTTAACAAAGGCAAATACAACAATAGTATTAGAAAAATAATAAATATCAGCACCATGTTTAGCTAATAAGTAGTTACATAGACTGTGGACAAAATTATAGAGCATAGGATTTAATATATTAAATATTAGAATTGTTAATTGAAAAAATATGGTAAGACTAGAAGTAAATAAGTTGTTATTTGAGTATTTTTTTGAAAATACCCAAAAAATAAAATAGTGTCATATATTATTTGTCGATGTTTTAAAATACGTTTATTTGTCGAATTCACTTTTTCACTTCGATAATTTTTTTATTATTCTTCCATCATCAGTTTTAAACTAGAAAATCCAAACCTGAACTAATTGATATACCTTTTTTGTTAATTTTTTAAAATCATATGTTTTAATTATCTACTTCAACTCTATAACTATTATAATCTTGATATGTCTCTCAGTTTCGGTTTTATTTAAAATAGAAATATTATAAACGGAATAGTATTTATTTATTTTAATTTATCATATTAATGTTAACATTATTTGTTAATTTAAAAACTTATTAATACTATTGAAACCTAAAAAACTTTAAATATAATTTATTTACTATAGTGTAAAAATTAAATGTGTTAGAAATTTGGTCTTATTAAAATATGAGTATTAGAGTATCATTATAAATGTATGGTCTTGGAAAATATTTAAACATTTGGAAACAATTGTTTTATCTATAATTATAATCTTATTAATACAATGTATTTCACTATTTTACTTTTCTAAGTAATTACCTATACCATGTTTACTGATCATTATTAATTTAATATTCGTAAAGGTAAAATTTCAGCAACTGAAGGTATTCATTGGGTTCAATAAATATATTCACGAGTAAATAAAGTGGAACATTGTGTACTTCCGTGTAACAAACACTGGAAATATTTCTTTTATCGTCAAGCGACGCTGTTCAAAAATATTGTGGAAGTTACCTGAAGTGATAAATGTACACTATAATATTTTTATGAGCTCTTATAAAGGTTATGAAGTTTATAAATAAAATAAAAACGTTACACATATATTTGAAGGAAAATTTCAAAGTAGCTACATTTTTGTAAATTGTTAGTTAAATGAGATAGGCTTCATTCTCAATTTAATCAGCATAAGTTTTTATTTTTATTACACACCAAAACTTTATTTTTAAAAACTTTATATTGATCTTGTTACTAGCGTTGATTGTATTATGTATATTGTAATTTTTCGACTAAATGTCTTGCAGTTATACGCATACATCGTAAAAGTAAATACGTATTAAATTATGAAACTTATAATAAAATTCAAAAATATTCAATATTTTAAAACGATTTTTAAAAATATGTAATTTTGTTTTTAATATTTTTACACATTCATTTGAGTACATTCTTCGGTAACACTCGTCCCGTAGAATAGAACATTTTTATCAAAAGTCCTTTTTAAGTTTGGAACTAAATTTTTATTAAATATTGAAGACATATAAAGTCTTTTGAAAATTTTGAAAACTGTATATGTAATTTCAGCTTGATTAAATATTGAAAAACTATTTTGAATACATTAAAATTGAGTGGAAAGAACAAATGTTATAGAGTTGTGTGATAAAATTACATTCATAATTAGTATCAATTAGGTTTTTAACTTACAAGTGAAACTATCCTTTCATAATCGTGATAGCAAGTAATAATGTACTGTAATGCATGTAATATAAATTTCAAGTAAGAAAACCTTGGTAGTATTAATATAATAAATTATTAACGTTATTTTTATTATTGATTAATTATTTTTAAGATGTAATAGTAGCGTAGATGTAGTGGCAATAGCTAAAATCGAAAATAAATATACACACAATAGGATGGCTGTGTTTCTACGAATAAATTGTTAAATAATAATAATATAAATGTGATTTATGTGTAACATGCCAGTATGACAGTATAATAATAACGTTAAGTATAGAGTGTAAGACGTAAAATATAACATATTTCGTAAGCGTACACACGGGTTACTTAGTGAATATTTTTATCCTATGACCTTGGGTCGGGTTTTAGTTCTCATTTTTTTACAAGTAAATCTGATCTAGATTTATTATTTGTTGAACTCAGTCTTAACGAGATAACATTTCAGGGTAAATAACGTTTTATGAAAACCTTCTCAGAAATCCAAGTAGCTTATGTGAATGGCTGCCTTGTAAAATTATTAATGTCGGTAGATTGAAAACTTTTAGGACGTCACGTGTTTCAACCGTAAAATCGCTATAGAAATTTCAAGTGATAAGAAAATGGTAAAAATCATTTCGATATGCACTCGTCGAGTAGTATTTACCAATGCGATTATTGGCGTGGTGTAAATTAGCGTAGTATTGTATCACACGTGAAAAACCCTCTTCCAATCGTAACTCTGTCGACATGTTATTTATGCGGAAGTACATAATCGAGAAAATATTGCAATATTATGGACCAGTGTTTCCGAAAGGAGAGTCAAGTTTGAAAAACCGTTTAAACCGACGAGAATACTCGAGCAACCGAATCACTTGGTGTCCCCCATACAGCTATTCCACCGTGCACGTGCGAGTGTAAAAAAAAAAAAAATTAATAAACGATTACCTCAAGGACAACACGCTGAGCTTGTAGCTCCTTGGGACGATGAAGGCGGTGAGGAAACATATGTTGGACAACTGGAACAGGCTGTGCTGGGCGGGTATCCACTGGCAGTTGGACTTCTGGAACGGCGCTACCGGCCTACCGGCGGTGGTGCCGTTGAGCGGGAAGAACAGTGCCGTCTCGGTGGCGTTGTCGTACGCGTAATAGTAGTAATAATCGTTGGCCGTCGGCCGGTGGTCCGGCGTGGTGACCGTGCCGTTCTGCATCGCAGCCGTCGCCGACACCGCACCAGTTGTTGTTGCGCCTGTGCAATTTCCGGCACTAACGCGGTTGCTGCAGCCGGCGGTCGTGGCGCCCGCGGTGCTGTCGATCGCGTCTCGCAGAGCGGCGGTCGTCGGTGAGGGCAGTGGTACGTACGCGCTGCTGGCTGCCGACTCGACGGTGATGGTGTTATGATGCCCCATCACCGATCGCCGTCCAGACTACCCGCCTCACCAATAGGTCACCGAAATCTCGGCGCAGTTGTCGCTGCTATCGTAGTGTTGCTACGGGCAATGCAACGGCCGCAAGACTGTTCATCGTTATAGTTTTGGATTTTCAGCCGACGCACACGGCACTCCGGTCCACCATGTCGACGTCGTCGCCGAGAGTCCTACAACCCAACGTAAACGAATAATCAAACATGTTATGTGTTTTTTTTTTTTTTTTTCATTAAAATAAAAAATTTACAATCTGTAACATATTTACATTAAGCGAATAAGACATTATGTTGTGAAAAATATTCACACGTGACGATTAGTACGAGGAAGGACAATGACAGGACCTTCATGCGGTATTATGGTTGAGGATTTAATGCACCCACGTCTTCTTAACCGACGGGGAGGATTTTCTGGCTGGTTTGTTCTCCCTTGTATGGTCCCATGAATAAATGGGTTGGTGAATAAATATGCTTATTACGAATCCATTAATCAACTACAAGTACTAGTTAAATGGATTTTTTTTTTTTTTCATTAACTTTCTTTGAACATGGAAACAGGTTGAAAACCGCACCATGATAAAAAAAAAAAATCATATGTTCAAATAGTTAAAGCATTTAAAAATATATTTACAACAGTAATAGATGTAAAATCGATAAAAAATTATAAATAAAATGACCATATATTTACAGTAATTATTTTGTTCAAACCAACTCGAATTAAAATTATTAAGATTGTTTAATGAATTTTTTGCACTTAATTTTTAAGTTAAAATGGTAAACAAATCTAAATAGAATTGATCAAAGATTAAATTATAAAACGTGATCCATAAATATAAATCAATATTATAAGTCATTATTAAATATCAATATTAAATCTACCAACGTTGATAATTTAATTATTCTACTATTTTTGTTGATAAATTTAATACTTTTTACTTGTAAAATAAAAAACCATATATAAATTATAATTGTATTTCATAATAATATACAATAATATTGATCTTAAAACCATTTTCAAAGAAATTAATTTAAATACGTTACATTGTGTAGCAAGTGTATTTACATCATATTAAACTTAACAAAGAAACTTTGTACTGAAAACAATTTTAAAATAACAATAATTATCATGCTACGATTCTAATTATTATTATTATTTTCAAGAAATAAAATACATTATCATCAAATACTTGTATATTTTAATAATGAATCAGCAACGAAGCATTATCCAAGTAACATTCGCAATATACATACAATCAAGAATTATAATTGACAATGTGTCAAATCTAATTTAAATTCATAATATTTGTAATGTACTACGCTATAATAATATTAAATAAAAATTGAAAAATATACAATAACATTTTTTTATTGATAATAAAACAATTTTGCATTTAACAGAAAATTATATGAATTGGGTGCCTATACTATATATACTATATTATATATACTATATAAACTATTATAAACATGTACAGCGGAAAAATGTAAGTTTAAATAACGACTATTATATAAAACGTAAATTTAACCTAGAAAATTTTAAGTACAAGAAATTCTTTAATAAAATCAAATATTAAATAACTCCATTTAGTTAATTAAAATAAGTCGTTGATACATACTTAATTTAGTACTTTTAATTTTAAATTTCAAAAAGCTTTACATTATTAATCTAATCATTTTAAGAAATCAAATAAATTGAATTAAATATTTTTATATATCAAATGATGGGACAATAGTGAATAAAATTATAAGTAATAAATTACATGCCTATGTTAAATTACTCGTAATAGATCAGGGGCGTAATTACGGGGGGG